ACAGCCCTCCTCCAGCTGATAAACTCCTGCTCATCTGCTAAGGTCCAGCTTACATGTCCCCTCCCAAGGGACACCTGTTACTATAGGCAATAGAGGGGGGTACTGCTTCCTGCCAAGATTGAGAGCAGCAGGGGGTCCCCTGGGTGGTGGGGCTTTGGCTTGGAGGCTGCAGGCAAGAAGAATCTTTTCTGCACTTCCCCATTCACCCTCCCTCTCTCGTTTCCCTTTCTCTGTTCTCATTTCTGACACAGGGACTCCGGCTAAATGACCTTCAAGATCCCTTCCAACATCCCATGTTGATACTCTGCCATCATCCTTTGAGGGCCAGGTGACTCTGTATTTATTGAGTGCCGGCCATGTTCCAGGCATGTTCTGAGCATTTTACCTGCCCTCACCCTGGAAGCTGCCAGAAGCCACTAAGCTCCCTGAGGGCCACACTACTCTCCTTCCTTTAAGGTGTGGTTCCGAGACTGGGGCCCATTACCCTGGTCCCTATTTGAGATGCATTGTGGTTGTTACGAGGGAGTTCACTAACCACTTCTGGCTTCCTCCTTCTGCACGTGGTGGAACTGCCTAGCCCTAGCTTCTCTAACTCAGAGGTTATACTACTTGCTCTGATCAATGCTAAGTAAACAGAACTGTCATGCATCACTTCCGAGTCAAGCTTTAAAAACAAAAAATATATGTTTGCATATAAAACCAGGTGGGAACTGTTCCATTTTATTCAGATGCTTGATGGGAATTTCTCTGCACCTCATCCTTCTTCAGCCTCTTACAAAACCGGACCGAAGGCGCCACCTGGTGGCAGCCTTTGGTTCTAACATGGCAGAAAAACCCAGCTGGAGTAAAAGCGGCCCACACCCCTCTCCCCTGAACTGTTTGTTTCCCTGGATATGGACTTGCTGTAAACGTGATAGAACAACAATTGATTAACATTTTTTCAATATTTTTATTGATTTCAGAGAGTAATGGAGAGGTAGAGAGAGATAGAACCATCAATGATGAGAGAGAATCATTGATTGGCTGCCTCCTGCGCGCTCCACACTAGGGTATGGAGCCTGCAACCCAGGCATATACCGTGATTTCCTGGTTCATAGATCAATGTTCAACCACTGATCCATGCCAGCCGGACTGTACGTTGGCATATTAGAATCCAAGCCTTTTTTCTGTATGTACTTTTCACATAGCTGAGGATTAGTGTATACATATGTTTATGTATAAATACACATTCATATATATGGACTCAATTATATTTAAACATATGTTGTATGTTTTTGTAAACAAAGTCTTGGTGTGGGAGTTAGTGTGGGTGTTGGGAGCCAGGTGCTAGTGTCAGACCACCCTGAGTTTGAATCCTGTCTTTGCCCTTACTAGCTGTGTGACTTGGGCAAGTGACTTCCCTGAGTAGCAATTTCCTTCACCATCTGTAAAATGTGGTTAATAATGGGACTTATCCCAGGCTGTTGGGAAGGTAATGACACAATATATGCAAAATGCTTTATACAGTTCCCCAGGACAGAGAGATTTCTCACTGATAATAAATGACTATGTAAAGCTTAGTCTGCCTTTCTGATTCGTAGCAGAAATCTCTAGAAATAGGATGAGTTTCTGGGTTCAAGGGCCTCAACGATGATACAGTTTGTCAAAATTGAGAGGAAGATTTCACCAAGATCCCCAGCACCACAGCTGTTCTCATGTGGCTCTATATTCTTCCAGGCCCTGTTTACGCAGAACAATTTTTAAGCATTGTAATTATAATGCTTGCACAGTTTGCTTAATATTACATTGTCAACATTTTCCTGGGGGCTAAAGCTGTCATTGGCATTTGCCATAATTTGCTTAACTATTTCCTTACTGCTGAATATCTGAGCAGTTTAATTTTTCATTCATTCATTCACTCATTCATTCATACATTTGCTATATTGAATGCCTACTCTCTGCCAGGCACTGAACTAGGCACTGGAAAATGGGATCACTAAGAAGAGTACACGCCTTGCTTTTGGCATTTGGATTCTGGCCAGTGAGACAAACCATTATAAGTAAACTAGAGGCTCAGTGCATGAATTTGTGCACAGGTGGGGTCCTTCGGCCTGGCTGGCAATCAGGGCCAATTGGGCCACTGAAGGTTGGCTGGTGGAGGGAGGAACCACGGGAAGTTGGCCTGCCGCTGGAGGTTGGCTGTGGGAGTGGACTGACCACCAGGGGGAAGCTCCTGCATTGAGAGTCTGCCCCCTGGTGATCAGTGGGTGTCATAGCGACTGGTCAACTGGTCGTTTGGTCGTTCGGTCACTTAGGCCTGTATTTATATAGATAGACTAGTAAAACTCTATCAGCAGTGGTGTGTGCTGTGAATGAAAAGGAGACACCTACTGGTGAGACCTATTTTTAAAACATTTGTATATATTTCGGAAGTAGTCCTAGTCCCTAACTCTAATCTGCTCTTGCTCCTCAGCAGCCATAACTGAGGCTTCTCTTTGGGGAATCCCATATGGGGTTGAATTTTCCACTAACATATATTAGAGCTTCCTGATAAGCCAGAGCTTTCAAACCCCTGACACTGAGCTCAAATAGGCCTTGTTTCCTGTTCTTCCTTCCTCCAAGGCTTGTGTTTCAAACAGTCCAGCCTGCTCCCCATCCCCCATCCCCCCCCCCCAAGGCTTATGATTATCATCATCTTAAATCTATGTGCACTGAGCCTTTTCCTCACCTTCCCTCAACACAGGGCCACCACTAGCCCTAGGATCCTTTGAGCCAATCAGCAAAGGTGCCCACTTTGGGCAGACAACGCCTTGATGGGTGAGCCTTGTAGGGCAGAGCACAAGTTGGATATCCGCTCTTGTGAGGCCTTGTGGTTCACTTGCATGACTCTATAGGGCAGCCCTGCCCACAGCCTCCGGAATGACCTCCTCGCCTACCTTCTGTCTTCCTGAGTCTTACTCCATCAGTTTATGTTCTATCTCTTATGTGAAGTCTTATCTAGCATTCTAATTCACAGTAAATCCTTCATTCCTTGAAGCCCTGATTTTTTGACTCTTTGCTTTATTTGGCACTTAATTGTGTACTGCCTTCTGATTCCTCTTGTATCATTATTTCATCTGAAAAGGTCTGATTTAGATTGAGAAATCAGAGGTATTCTCTATAGATATGTTATTTACACGGAATGCTGAAGAAGTGGGTAGAGATCTATCGAAAGAGTGTCCCAGGCAGAGGAAGGGCGAGTGCAAAGACCTCGATGCAGAAGATGTATTAGATATAAGGCCAAAATGAATATCTTTACCTGAAATGGCCTATGAAGGTTTGACAAATGAAGTGGAAGACAACTTACTAAGTTATGAATTCATACTACTTTATGAGGCAACCTTTGATCTAGCCCCTGGAAATGAGGCTACAGAGATTAATCGAACCAGACATATTCCTTTCCAGACTAATGGAGGAGGCTAAGACGATTTCAGTAGACAGACCCTGGTGGGAGGTTATGATGCATGTCAGTAGAAGGGTAGAGAGAGTAACTATTTCTGCCTTTGGGGACTGAGGGAAGCTTGATCAAGGAGACATCCAAGTGGAGTCTGACATAGGAGTTTCCCAGGCAGAGACACAAAGGGAGAGGAAGTCCAGGGAGTGCTCAAAGGGATGGAGGCAGGAGAGTGATTTCAGAGCGTGCCAACCAGGAAGGGTTCGGAAAATGAACATGCTCAGACTTCATCTGTAGATAGTGGAATAGGGGAGGTTCCTAAGCAGGAGAGTGGCTGGTCTGGCTGCAGTGTGGAGAATGCATAGGAGTGTGGAGTCAGGGAGACCCATGAGGAGTCTGGTACAATGACCCAGGGTAAACGCTTGAATTGGGACAATGATGATAAGAATGCATAAGAGAGGACAGATGCAAAAGACATTTTCATGTAAAATCTATAAGGCTTGGAAATGGACTGGTTTTTGGAAGGGGAGAGGGTGAGTTAAAACTTTGCAACTTTCAAACATGGATGACTGAATGAAGGTGGTGCCCCTTTGCTGAGACCAGAAATACTAGGAGGAGAGATAGGATTTTGGGGGGTAGGTTGGTGGAGAGAGACTGGGGGACTGTGAGAGCTCCTCTTTGGTACCATGGACAGCGCCAAGGTTCTCCAGAAGCCTTGAGTACAGCATGCAGGGCAGTGGTTTTGGACTCTGGCTGCCTTAAAATCAGCAGAGGAGCTAATTTAACATGCAGGCGTCCCGGCCCACACAGATGTTCTTCCTCAGCGTCTCTGGTGCTCCTGGCGTGCAGGGGCCTGCATTCTAAATAAGCACTCTCAGTAACCCAGGTGCAGGTAGGTGATGAGCTGACTGTACTTAAACACTGAGATAAAGCCCTCCCTTTGGATTGGCTTTAAAAACACCTGACAACCTAAAAGAATTGAAAGCAGGGGCCTGGGAAGATACTTGTGCGCCCGTGTTTATAGCAGCATTAGTCACAATAGCCAACAGGTGGAAACAAACCAAATATCTTTTGACGATGGACGGAGACAATGTGGTGGATAGATACAACGGACATTATTCAACTTTAAAATGGGAAGAAACTGTGAGACGTGCTACAGCATGGATGGACCGTGAAGGCATTGTGCTGGGTGAAATAGGCTGGTCACAGAAGGACAGACACTGTATGATTCCACTTCTATGAGGTACCTCCAGGGGTCAAGTGCATAGACAGAGAGCAGAGCAGCGGCTGCCAGGGGCTGGGGGGTGGAGAATGAGGAGTTATGGTTTAATGGGTATAGGGTTTCAATTTAAGAAGAAAAAGTTCTGGATGCCCTAGCCAGCTTGGCTCAGTGGATAAAGCGTCAGCCTGCGGACTGAAGGGTCCCGGGTTCGATTCCGGCCAAGGGCACATGCCTGGGTGGTGGGCTCGATCCCCAGTGGGGCAGGCAGGAGGCAGCCGATCAATGATTCTCTCTCATCATTGATGTTTCTATCTCTCCTCCCTTTCTCTCTGAAATCAATAAAGAAATATATTTTTTTAAAAAGAAGAAAAAGTTCTGGAAATGGATGTTGGTGATGGCTGGTGCACAGCGATGAGAATGTACTTAATGCTATTGAACTGTACACCTAAAATCGGTTCAAATGATAACCTTTTTGTTGTTTATTTTACCACAAAACCTGACATAATAGGAAAAGTAGTGGTTAATGCCCTCAACTTGAGAGGGAATCTGCAGGGCTTCTCCATGGCTTCCCCACCCATAGGGAGCTCCCCGACCCTGGGAAGGGGGCTCCCCGCTCTGGGTGGGGGCTCTCCCAGGAGCAGCAGGTGCTTCTTCACCGGAAAGCTGCTCCCTCAGGGCCTGGACTTGTCACGTCCCTCGTCGGGCTGATGGTGCAGTTCCTCACAATGGGAGAGGCTATGCCTCGTCCTTCAGACTGGCTGTCGTCCCAGGGAGTGGCGGGGCGGGGGGCCTCTTGGTGGAGCGCTTTGTCTCTGCTCCCCAGGCCCAGGCTCGGGAGCCGCAGTGGTGCCCAACACTTTTCTACGCTGCATGTCGCCTCCAGCGGCTCGGAGCTCTGCGCCCTGGGCCGGCTTGCGGGCGCAGCTCCTCCCTTCCCCTAACCCACGCACCCAATTCTCCGCTTTGCCCTCTTCCAATATGGCCGCCGCCGCCTCTGTGACCGGCCTGGTCACGTGGTGCCGCCGCCTGTGAGGTCGCAGAGGCTTGGACGGCGGCGATTGTCCCTCCCCACGCGCCGTCCAGAGGCGTCGACTGCCCTTGTCATCCGGAGCCTGAGCGATCATGGCAACGGGCTCGGGCCGGGAGCGCGTGGCAGCGGCGGCGGCAGTTCGGTCGCGGCCCGCGGCGGCGGAGCAGCGGCGGCGGCGGTGGCAGTGGCGCTGGCACCGGCCCTGAGCGCCATGCAGCGGGGCAGCTCCGAGAGGGAGCTGGCGGCGGAGGCGACGGCGGCGGCGGGGCCAGTCCGCGTGGACCCTGGCGCGTCCGGGGAACCGGAGCGCAAGGCGAGGGAGGAGGGGGCCGCGGCCCGGGCCCCGGCGCAGCCCCGCGCGGCCGAGGAGGGCGACGCCCGTCTCCTCCAGCGGCCGCCGTCCACGCCGCCCGGGTTCAGGATGAAGCCGGCGCCCGCGCGGGGCCTCGGGCCGCTCGGAAAGCCCCGGGGCAAGGGCCGAGGCGGCAAGCGGAGCCCGGGCCGCCGGTCGGACGAGTACTACTCCGTGCGGCCAGTCACCGTGGACAGCTCCAAGGCCAGGACCTCGCTGGACGCCCTGAAGATCAGCATCCGCCAGCTGCAGTGGAAGGAGGTGAGGCGGCCGCGCGCGGGGGCCGGGGCGGGGCCGGGGCGCGGGGGCCGGGGCGCGGGGTGGGTGGGTGGGACGAGCCCGCGGGAGCCGGCGGCCCGGGCCCGGGGTGGGCGCGCTCTCCAGTCACCCCCAGAGGCTGTCAGCCCCCGCCCGGTGAGCTGCCACTGCCGCTGGCTCCCCTACAGCTCTGGTCCCAGGCGCTCAGCACCGGTCCCCCCACTTTGGAGACATTTGTTTATATGTCTGGCTCCTCCACTAGCTTGTGAGTCCCGGAGGCCTAGAACCCCCTCTCTTCCGCTTTTTCATCCAAGTTATATTTCTGTGGCCCTTCGCGTGTGACTTTTGCGCAGTGGAACAGTTTGTACTTTGTAGGCAGACAGACCCGGGTTCTCACCGTGCCCCGCCGCTTAGCCATGTGACCTTGAGCAAGTTGCTTTGCCTTTTAAGCGTATTTCGTCCTCTGTAAAGTGAGGCTAATAATACCTATCTCACAGTTTTGTAAGTATTCTATTATTGTAGCATAGCACAAGTGTGCAATGAATACCATACTCACTTCCTCCATCACCATGATGACCCCCCCCCCCCCCATCGCCGCCGCCATCATCATCATCCTCAGTGTAGGCACCGTATTTTATGTCCCAGGGCTTGGCATGCAGCAGGTGTTAGTCAGTGGTGGATGAAAGGGTGAAGGAAGGAATGGGTTATTTGTTCCTGAACCCGTTTTTGACCCCGTGGAGGCTGGAATGAAGCACCAATGACATCCAGTCATGTCTGTTGCAGTTGGCTTAGGCCGTGGTCGGCAAACTGCGGCTCTTTGGCCCCTTGAGTGTGGCTCTTCCTAAGCCTTAGGAGTACCCTAATTAAGTTAATAACAATGTACCCATCTATATAGTTTCAGTTTAAAAATTTTAGCTCTCAAAAGAAATTTCAATCGTTGTACTGTTGATATTTGGCTCTGTTGACTAATGAGTTTGCTGACCACTGGCTTAGTGGATAAAGTCATCTGACTTTATTTGCAGCTTCTAAGAATATTTAACTTGCTTTCATGTGTGTGAGGATTGTGATTTAGGGTAGTCGAGTCTGGAGACATAGGCCCACATGGTCTGCTGATGGGACAGGATCTGCCACAGGCAACTTGAGGACTCGGGGACTTAGCCCTGAGCTGTGGCTGTGGTAGATGTCCAGGAGCAGTTATGAAGTTGGAACATGCATAGAGATGGCCACAGAAAGGATGGATGAGGTCACAGGTTTGATGTCCCAGCAGGAAGGAGTCGTGTGATTTGGAGGGAAGTTAAGAATCAGGCAGGGCTGACTTCCAGGTAAGTAGAGGTTAGCCATTGGGGAATAACGCCAGGTGGCAGGGTCCTCAGCCTTGGGGCTTGGGATTGAGGGGAGGACCTTCAAGCCTGGGACACCTGGAGAAAGTGAGGGAGGACCCCCGGTTCTGGACTGGGTCCCAGGTTCACACCAGAGATCTGAGGACCGGAACAAGATAAAATTGTAGAACTCATCAGTGCCAGAGTCCTGATGAAGAGAGAATCCAGGGACTGAAACCAGGCCACAGTGCCAGGCAAGCTGATTGGCCCAAGCAGGGCCTGCGCATAGCTTAGCCCCGTGGGAGGAGAGATGTGAAGCTGGCTAGATCTTGAGAGCCAGAGCCAGATGGACTCAGAAATCTGCAGGCATACATGCTGGCCCAGGTTCGTTCACTCATTCCATAAGTGTGCACGGTGGATGCTGGGCCCTGCGGATCAAAGATGCTTCAGATGTAAGATATTCTTGCCCTCCAGGACTTAAAGTTCAAGGGATAAACACAAGTGAAGAAACACTGCAGTAATCACAGGGTCTTTGCTTCTGCTTCCTGCAACCCTCTTTTCCCAATTAGGTGTATGTCTGACTCTGTCACTTCAGATCTCTGATCAAATGCCACTTCCTCTGACAGGCCTTGCGTGCTGATCCCTCTGTTGACCCATGCTCTTTATTCTGCCCCCCCGATTGCACTAAACTCTACCTCACACTGTATTATGTACTGTTTGTTTATTGTCTGTTTCCCTCATTAGAATGTAAGCTCCATGAGGGCAGGGGTTTTATTTTATTTACCTCAGCTGCTTGGCACATAGAAGGTGCTCAATAAATCTTTATTGAATGAATGAATACGTCATGTGATGAGTGTTTCTCTCTCTTTATGTAAAGTTGTATGTGTTGTGGGAGGTGGAGGAGGGCCACTCAAGGAGGGCTTTCTGGCGGGGAGAGATGGGAGCTGAGTTCTGAGTGCTGAAAAGGAGTAGGCGTTATTTAGGGACTATGGACTCTGATCCCTGGTAGAGGGAGTATTTGGGCAAAGCAGAGGTGTATTTGAGGTGCTGTATGGCTCGATCATTGAGTGGGTGGCACAGTAGTGCGAGATGAGGCTTGAGATGTGGGATGTGGTCTTTTTTTTTGGAAGGCTATGTGAGCACTACAGAATTTTACATTTCTTCCATGAATTGGCTGTGATGTCTTGGCATTAAATGTTTTAGGCCTCAGTTTGCCTGTCAGTCGGATGGAGGCGGGTTGCGCTGGTTCAGTGGTTTCTAGTCTTTCTTCTGCTGCAACCACATAATGGTGGTGTTACGCTACCTGAGACCCTTGCACTGGCGAAGTCAGTGGGGTGGGCAGTTTCCAGGGCACTACTGGTAACCGCCCTGTCCCCCTCGTGTGAGTAGGGATGCTCATTCTAGTATATTTTACACCATAATTCACTTATAATAGGACTTTACTATTAGATGTAAGATTAATTAGGTCATGCCATTGTCTCCTATTAGTCAGTGAGATTCTGAGGACGGGTGGTATCTGACTCGTGTCCCTAGTGCCCAGCACAGTGAGGGTTTTCAGTGAATACTCACCAAATGACTGAATGAAATACTTGCAAAGGAACCCATATCTCATCTGAACCTAGAATGTAGAGTTTGAAAAGTGCCAGACTAGGTAAGCTTTAAAGTTTCTTCCAGCTTTAAACCCTGATTATGGCATTCTTAGTACCAGCTACAAAGTTGACTTCATGACAAGTAGCCCGTATGTAAACCAGGTCCTAACAAGGTGCCAGCACACGAGCTCTCCAGGCCTCGGTGTCCCATCTGTTCCAGGGTGATGTTGGACAAGATCATCTCTCACACTCAGCACTGACATTCTAGCAGCAGGAACATCTACGGGGGGGCTGCCGTGCAAGGAACTGAGCCAGTGTTCCTTGCATGACATACTGTGCTACTGCTGCAGGATTGAGGGTGCCCAGCTGGCCAGCTTTGGCAGGTAGTGAGTGGGTATCCCAGGCAAGAAATAAGGTCATAAATACCAACCAGGTGAAAGTTCTGTCTCCTCTTTTGAGTGCATAGTGAGGGGCTACATGACACAGTCCCCTTAGCAGGGCAGCACCCAGTCAGCATGTGAATTCCCACATTTGCTCAGCTACAGGGCACAATCTCTCTTCCTCCTTTACTTTTCTTCATTCCACGTTCATTTAACAACAACAACAACTGTAACAAACCCTTGTATACCTCTCACTCTGTCAGGCACTTTTCTGAGTGTTTTACATGCATACAATGATTTCATTCTCCCAACACCCCAATATTGTAAACACCCGATTGTCTCCCTCTTACAGAGGAGGAAGTTGAAGTGCACAGAGGTTAACTTATCTAAAGTCACATAGCTGGTAAGTGGCAGAGCCAGCATTTGAAACAGGTATTTCATTTGAAGCCAGCCGTCAGTTCTCTTTTCCCCCTGCTCCCTTCTGGCTCTCTGTCTGCAGACCTGGCTTAGGGGTTGCAGATACAGATGTGACTGGGATTCATTCCTTGCCCTCCAGCAGTGCCCAGGGCAATCTAGTCCAGGGACAGACATACCCACAGACTATTACAATCTAGTCTGGGAGTTGAGTGGGTAAAGGGCATTTCATACAGGGTAGGAACAAAAGCAAGGAGTACAGATCAGGTTTTATATGTAGGATGGGATGCTGGCAGCTTAGGGAGCATGTGGGAGAGTGGCGAGGGAGGGAGAAGGAGCCGATCACAGAGGATGCTGAAAGGCTGTATCAAGAAGCTCGCGCTTCTGCCTGGATGTGATCACAGGTTCTTTCCACATACAGCCTGGGCTTCCCTTGCCCACTCTCAGTCCCAAGTGAACCACGCCAAGTGATGATTCCATTTCAGTCATGTCCACTCTGGCCAGGTCTAATTCAACTGTGCCCATAGCCTTAAAATTTGTTTGAAAAGAAAAATCACATATGTTAGCTCTGTGAACTTGGAGATAAGATGTAAGTTTATTGTAGAATAGGAAAATCATGTTTACAGGGTCACTACTGAAGTTACAACATGAAAGAGAGGGATGGTTTCTGGCTCATGGTAGATGATCAAGAAATATTTACAAAATTGTATGGTCTACTTCCAGTCACGTGAGCCTCTCTCTTCATCTCCTGTATATTCTTTCGTGGTTTCCACACACTCATTAAAGAAAACCTTAGGGAGAAGGCACCTCAGAGAATAGATGCCACTGTTGTCGTGAGCTGCCCTCCCTGGAGATGTAGGTTGTGTATATGCGCACAGTGGTGCCATGGACACCGGCTAATGTGGATGAGAGATTTGATAGAGGGACCTTTGTTGTAATAGTTTGCCCAAGCCTTGTCCCAAGATCTATTACCGTGTGAGCTCTTTGTTTCAGAGACTCCAAACCATGAGGACAGTGACCATGTTTCTCTATTCCAGATGGGCTGATACTTCTCCTTCTGCATCACATCACCTCGTGCCTTGCTGCCTCAGCTGCTGTTTGTGTACACATTTGTTCCCTGTGTTTGAACCATTGTCTAGTAAATTTTATAAATGCCTCTTAAGCCCTTAGCAGGCATTTCTGATGGCGCCTTCTCTTCTCCCATCTGCTTCTGTGTCATCTGAATAAAGCCTTCTCATCCTTAATGGAGCTGGGAGTCCAATGCTGCCCCGCCTTGGACTCTTATGAAGGCCAGCTTCCAT